GGTTGGCCCAGATAGCGAGGGATGTCTTCCAGCGTGCTTACGGGTGGGGCCCTGCTGTACGGAGGCTCTGTTGATCAAGTGTTGATAGATGCATCATTTGCGATGATCTCTCTTGTTCTTTTGATATAGCACCCTGTAGGTGCAGATTTTGGTATCTCAGGTGTAGGAGTTTATTTCCCTGATGCAAAATGTTAGGCAACATTTGTAGCGATGATGCTTTGGAGCATTCTTCTGTTGTAGCATCCTGTAGGTGCAGTTGAAGTGCCTCTAGATGTAGGAGTGGTGTTTCCTGATGCAGATGTTAGGCATCGAAAAAATTAAGTTTGTATGAAACTTGTTTTGTATGATGTGACTCCATTTTCGTAATGAAAATGGGGGCCATGGGGCCCCTCTGATCGAAAAAATATCATGGTTACAACCAGTAGCTATCCCACCATATCGCAGGGAACACCCAAACAAACGCCAGAATCGCACAAAAGTCCTTGGGTCCCTGTTCATCCTCAACCTACAACGAACCGCCGTCATCTCTGTCGTCGCGGGCCAAGAAGCAAGGGCAGGAGCACCATCGCCACAAAGGCTTTGTGAGCCGCATATAAGTCCCCATCCCAGTGGACGGGAACCAGTTTCGGGTTCCGGTGCATCGGCCGGGGACATTCCCCGTGCTCCCCTCACCTTGGATCCGCCACAACCATCAACCTTCGCCGACGAGGAGCAGCATCACCAGCCACAACATCACCAAAGTCATTGATGGATTTGGAATCACCGATCCAGATGCCACAGACTCATGTGCGTCGCCACCGTGCAACCAGCACCGCTGGCCCGTGGTACTCCGCCTCTCTAGCCCCGCAACGTCGCCAGAGCAAGCGCCACCTCGACGGAGAATAGGCTAGAGGAATTTATTCCGCCTAATTGGCGTCATCCCCACTCGAGCACCAATGATTGGAGAAACTACCCTAACAACCCTATCTACAACGACCGCGCAGTTGACGACTGTCTCCCCCACCTCCCGGCGCCAAGAGGCCGCTGGAGGCGAGGGAGACCGGCGACGGCCGAACCACCCCTCTCGCCTCGCCTGCTTTTTGCCTCTTGGAACCGTCGCTCTAGAGTCCTGTGTAGTACCCCAGTTGCTTTGGTGACAAAAAAATTAGTTGGAATGTTACGTAGGTGTCCAATAGGAATTACGTAGGTGTAGTATTATTTGCTTGACAGGGTACCAGTGCA